GAAGATTTGAATGGGATAAATATCCAAACCATATCACACCGCAATTTTGTTTTTAGGAATAGGAATGAAGAAAATAACAATGGTGTGAAATGATTTAGGAATAAGACTGAGTGCAGAATTTTTAAAATGGCTAAGAAAGGGGAAGGAAGCTAAGTAAAAGTAGGTTATTGAATTTAAAATATTATGGCTATCAAGATACTGAGGCGGGAGATTCGCTTGAACCGAGGATGAAGGTTGCAGTGAGCTGATATCGTGCCACTGCACTCCAGCCTGGGCAACAGAGCAAGACTCCTTCTCAAAAAAATGAAATAAAATAAAATGCTGTGGCTATATTATATGATGAGCTGTTAACCAGCCATTAAAATTATTGTACAAGATGTACATTTATTGACATAGAAAAACATTCACAATATATTATTAAAGAAACAATTTACCAGTGGCAGATATTCTAGCATCCTATGATATATGTGTGTGTGTGTTTGCACATGTGCTTAAGTATATGAAAAAAAGCCTTGAAATGTCTATATCAAATATTAAAATTGATTATCTCTGGATGACAGGATTCTTGATGACTTTTTTCCTTTTTGTTGTTTTTAGTTTAATTTTAAGTTCCAGGATACATGTGCAGGGTGTGCAGATTTGTTACACAGGTAAATGTGTACCATGGTGGTTTGCCGCACCTATCACCCCATCACTTAAGTGTTAAGCTCCCCATGCATTAGCCGTTTATCCTGATGCTCTTCCACCCCCTGTCCCAACATTTTTCTACACTAATTTATTTCTCCTTTCTTTGACTTCAATAACATCTTAGATCCTTAGATATGGTTGCACAGGTTAAAGGCTTTTTTAGTTTTTGCAGTCTTTTTGTTCTTTACATTGCATAATTTCTGTTGCTGCATCTTCAGTTTCACTGGCTCATTTCTCTTTCATCTCCATTCTGCTATTTTGCCCATCCAGTAAATTTTTTATGAGTTTTCAGTTATCAAATTTCTATTTGATTCTTTTTCATAGTTTTAATTTTGCTTCTGAAAACTTATATATCCATTCATTTTAATGTGTTCATCTTTATCTAATGGATGATTCTTATAATAACTCCTTTAAGGTCTTTGAGAATCCCAACATCTGGGTTATCTCAGGCATGGTATTTGTTGAGTATCTACTTTCTTAGATATTGGTTAGATAATTTTGATTCTTTGTATGTTGAATCCTTTTGGATTGTATCTAAGATATTTTAAATATCAATGTTGATAGACTCTTTAGGTTCAATTAAATCTTCTGAAGAATGTTATTTATTTCTTTATTGTGTAAGCAGGCAATTGGCTAGGTGGGTTCAGACCGCAAGTTCTGATTCTCCTTCTTAGGGTGGTGGTTCCAATGTCATTTCAGTTTTTCAAGCCTTTCTTACGCTTTTTGAATCTGCTTGTCACATGTGCATCTTAGGAGTTTGTCTTGAACTGAAACAGTGGTTTATATGGCAGTTCACTTCTTAAAGCCTTTGTTGATTTCCTTGAGTCTGTTCTGTACATGCACAGCTTGGGGGTAAGCCCAGGACTTAGGTCACTTCATACACAGAATCCCCTTCTTTGGTTCTTTCCGCCTTGGGATTTCTTTCATACTCTTTATCTTCCAGTGGTTTGTTTTCCTTATGCCTTTGGCCAGAAAGATGTATATCTCTCAGACTTTTAGCTTTCACTGTCATTATGAATTTCCTAGTGACTGGAATCTCACTTTGTTGGCCAATATTTAAATTTTGACTCTAGTTCTCAATTCATTTGCTATTATTTACTTTTGAGAATTCTCAAATAGTGCATTTTGCAGTCTGTTCAGAGTTTTTAGTCATAACAGTGAAGAAATAACCTGTATCAAGTTCTCCATTTGGCTGGCACCTTATGTACCCTGATAGTCCATTTTTCCTTGTGTTTATTTTCTTAATCTTCTTCTTCTTTTTTTTTTTTTTTTTAAATTATGCCTTAAGTTCTGGGGTACATGTGCAGAACATGCAGGTTTGCTACATAGGTGTACACATTCCATGGTGGTTTGCTACATCCATCAACCTGTCATCTACATTAGATGTAGATGATACTTCTCCTGATGCTATCCCTCTCTAGCCCCCCACCCCGACAGGCCCCAGTATATGATGTACCCCTCCCTATGTCCATGTGTTCTCATTGGTCAACACTGACTTATGAGTGAGAACATGCATTGTTTGGTTATCTGTTCTTGTGTCAGTTTGCTGAGAATGATGGTTTCCAGATTTATCCATGTCCCTGCAAAGGACATGCTCATCCTCTTTTATGGCTGCATAGTATTCCATGGTGTATACGTGCCACATTTTCTTTAGTCTGTCATTGATGGGCATTTGGGTTGGTTCCAAGTCTTTGGTATTGTTAACAGTGCTGAAATGAGCATACATGCATGTGTGTTTTTATAATATAGAATGATTTGTAATCCTTTGGGTATAAACCCAGTAATGGGATTGCTGGGTCAAATGGTATTTCTATTTCTAGATCCTTGAGAAATCGACATACTATCTTCCTCAATGGTTGCACTAATTTACACTCCCACCAACAGTATAAAAATGTTCCTATTTCTCCACATCCTCTCCAGCATCTGTTGTCTCCAGATTTTTTAATGATTGCCATTTTCACTGGTGTGAGATGGTATCTCAGTGTGGTTTTCATTTACATTTCTCTAATGACCAGTGATGATAAGCGTTTTTTTTTTTTGATGTTGACTGCATAAATGTCTTCTTTTTAGAAGTGTCTGTTCAAAAATTTCCTACCAGTAACATAAGCTACATGTAGGGGTAAATATGAATTTTTTTATTATTTTTTTTATTTTTTTTATTGCATTTTAGGTTTTGGGGTACATGTGATGAACATGCAAGATTGTTGCATAGGTACACACATGGCAGTGTGGTTTGCTGCCTTCCGTCCCCTCACCTGTATCTGTCATTTCTCCCCATGCTATCTCTTCCCACCTCCCCACTCCCCCCGCCCCTCCCCCATTTCCCCCCAACGGACCCCAGTGTGTAGTGCTCCCCTCCCTGTGTCCATGTGTTCTCATTGTTCAACACCCGCCTATGAGTGAGAATGCACGGTGTTTGATTTTCTGCTCTTGTGTCAGTTTGCTGAGAATGATGGTTTCCAGGTTCATCCATGTCCCTACAAAGGACGTGAACTCATCGTTTTTGATGGCTGCGTAATATTCCATGGTGTATATGTACCACATTTTCCCTATCCAGTCTATCATCGTTGGGCATTTGGGTTGGTTCCAGGTCTTTGCTATTGTAAACAGTGCTGCAATGAACATTCGTGTGCACGTGTCCTTGTAGTAGAATGATTTATAATCCTTTGGATATATACCCAGTAATGGGATTGCTGGGTCAAATGGGATTTCTATTTTTAGGTCCTTGAAGAATCGCCATACTGTCTTCCACAACGGTTGAATTAATTTACATTCCCACCAACAGTGTAAAAGTGTTCCTATTTCTCCACATCCTCTCCAGCATCCGTTGTTTCCCGATTTTTTAATGATCGCCATTCTTACTGGTGTGAGATGGTATCTCAATGTGGTTTTGATTTGCATTTCTCTGATGACCAGTGATGATGAGCATTTTTTCATATGTTTGTTGGCCTCCTGTATGCCTTCTTTTGTAAAGTATCTGTTCATATCCTTCGCTCATTTTTGAATGGGCTTGTTTGTTTTTTTCTTGTAGATCTGCTTTAGTTCTTTGTAAATTCTGGATATCAGCCCCTTGTCAGATGGGTAGGCTGCAAAAATTTTTTCCCATTCTGTTGGTTGCCGATTCACTCTACCGACTGTTTCTTTTGCCGTGCAGAAGCTGTGGAGTTTGATTAGGTCCCATTTGTCTATTTTGGCTTTTGTTACCCTTGCTTTTGGCGTTTTGGTCATGAAGTCCTTGCCTACACCTATGTCCTGAATGGTTTTGCCTAGATTTTCTTCTAAGGTTTTTATGATATTAGGTCTGATGTTTAAGTCTTTAATCCATCTGGAGTTAATTTTGGTGTAAGGTGTCAGGAAGGGGTCCTGTTTCTGCTTTCTGCACATGGCTAGCCAGTTTTCCCAACACCATTTATTAAACAGGGAGTCCTTTCCCCATTGCTTGTTTTTGTCAGGTTTGTCGAAGATCAGATGGTTGTGGGTATGTTGTATTTCCTGTGAGGCCTCTGTTCTGTTCCATTGGTCTATATCTCTGTTTTGGTACCAGTACCATGCTGTTTTGATTACTGTAGCCTTGTAGTATAGTTTGAAGTCCGGTAGTATGATGCCTCCTGCTTTGTTATTTTTGCTTAGATTGACTTGGCTATGCGGGCTCTCTTTTGGTTCCATATGAAGTTTAAGGTGTTTTTTTCCAGTTCTGTGAAGAAGGTCATTGGTAGCTTGATGGGAATAGCCTTGAATCTGTAAATTACTTTGGGCAATATGGCCATTTTCACGATGTTGATTCTTCCTAACCATGAACATGGAATGTTTCTCCATCTGTTTGTATCCTCTCTTTTAAAATTTTTTTAAAATTAAATATTTTTCTATTGCTGCTGAGCAAATTAATGTATTTTTTAATTTTAAAAGGAATATGGGAAATACCATGGTTTTTCAATAAATATTATAATGATTTAATAATTTTTCAATGATTAAATAATCAGACATGAAAATGGTAACCAATTTGGGTGCATATATGGGAAAATAGGCAGTCTCTACTTATGACAGTGGTATGCAAATTAGTACATTCTTTTTCGTGGTCAACATGGAAAGCTTGATAAATGTAACGTGTGCATTTCCTTTGACCTAAAAGTTCAAATTTCAGGAATATATTCTATGGAAACACCAATGCTTCAAGTAAGTGTATATATGTTAATTGTTGCATCATGTGAAAATTGGAAAGAAACTCATCAACATGGTGATAGTTCAATATACTACCATATTTCCATACCATAAAATTCTATGTAGCCATTAAAAAGAGCATAATACCGGACAGAGCCCGACAGGGGCGGCACCACGGCAGGAGCCCTGCACGGTCCACTGTGAGGGGAGCGGCGCGAAGAGCAGATGCCGCCGCCGCCGCCGTAGACACACTCGTCCCGCAGGCCGCGCCTCGGCCTTGCTGCCAGGAAGCCTCGGCCCCGCAGCTTCGCTCGCTACTGTCTTAGGTTTCTTTACCTCCAGAAAGAAGAAGATTGACCCCTTGAATTCTGGAAGTTCATTGAAGAGTCTGAAATTAGGGATTTATTTCAAATTTGGACATGGCTAATCGAGGTGCAACAAGACCCAACGGGCCAAATACTGGAAATAAAATATGCCAGTTCAAACTAGTACTTCTGGGAGAGTCTGCTGTTGGCAAATCAAGCCTAGTGCTTCGTTTTGTGAAAGGCCAGTTTCATGAATTTCAAGAGAGTACCATTGGGGCTGCTTTTCTAACCCAAACTGTATGTCTTGATGACACTACAGTAAAGTTTGAAATATGGGATACAGCTGGTCAAGAACGATACCATAGCCTAGCACCAATGTACTACAGAGGAGCGCAGGCAGCCATAGTTGTATATGATATCACAAATGAGGAGTCCTTTGCAAGAGCAAAAAATTGGGTTAAAGAACTTCAGAGGCAAGCAAGTCCTAATATTGTAATAGCTTTATCAGGAAACAAGGCTGACCTAGCAAATAAAAGAGCAGTAGATTTCCAGGAAGCACAGTCCTATGCAGATGACAATAGTTTATTATTCATGGAGACATCAGCTAAAACATCAATGAATGTAAATGAAATATTCATGGCAATAGCTAAAAAATTGCCAAAGAATGAACCACAAAATCCAGGAGCAAATTCCGCCAGAGGAAGAGGAGTAGACCTTACTGAACCTACACAACCAACCAGGAGTCAGTGTTGTAGTAACTAAACCTCTAGTTTGAACTAGCTGGAATAGTCTTCTGCTTCCTAAATGGTAATAACAATGGAATTGGAGCATTTAACCAGCCCACTATGACTTCCAAAAGAAGAGACTTACGATAGAGTCAAGTTTCTAATACAGAATTATTTTAAGTGTTTCGAACTTAATTTTTAATAACATGCATGGGTCCCTCTTAGTAATGTTTCAGCAATAGGGAAAAATGAGAACTATGTGGACATTTGTTTCATTGGAAGGTTAGGGGAAATAATTTCCCATCACTAGAAATATAGACAAATGAGTGTCTGGACCCACACAGTTAACCAGCCCATTTCTCCACACTGGTACAGTAGTCACCTGTGAAAAAAATTTGGAACTTACTAATTGGAGCTTTTCAAAAACATTCTTTTTTTTAGAAGAAGATTCTAAAGTTACTTATGATGCTTAGCTGTAGTATTCAAGCAAATGTTCATTTCTCCTGGTACCTGTATTTAAATTGTACATTCCACATTTTAATGAATTAACCACAAGAAAATAATCCCACATATACAAGGTGGGGGTCGGGGGGCAGGGAAGAGTATTAATGGTATCTAAATTATAGCCAGTCCTGTTTTTTTTAATGGGGTAAAAAAAAAATGCAACCCCATCTTGTTCTAGGAATTTGAGAACTAATAAATGCATCTTAATGGATAGTGTTTCTTACAAACATATGAGTTCTTTAACAAAAATGAAATAAACCAGGTGTCTGTGATTTCTAATTAATCACTGCTGGCCATTACATAGATTTTGTTGTTTGGGGCAGGGAGGGGGCTTTTGTTCCCGTTTGACATAATATAGTCAATGCACTAACAATTATGTATATTCAAACTTGATTTTAAATTTGACGTTCAGCTGTACTGTAAATAGGGTACTGCATTGTAGTCTCCATATATGTATTACTTTTCTGTAATATTTAAGAGTTGCTTAAAAGTATACAAAATGTACAGTTACTAAAACAGCTAATTATTTCTCTCTCTCCCTTTGGCAGGAAGGGGCTTCAGTTGTTCCTCCATGGCTAGAATCATAATAAACAATGTACCCACAATTTGTAACATAAAGTATTGCAATATGTTAGTAACAATCTTGCAGCCTTCTTTTCCAAAGTTCATTTTATTTTGATCAGTTCAGTATATTGCACTGATTATTTTAGGTATTTTCATTATATGAAAGCTACCATGTGTCAGAGATGATTTAATCTATTTAAGTGTTGGACTGCTAGGAGAACTTGTACATTTATGATAATGCAGAATTAGGAAAACGGTTCACCAGTGTTTAGTTTTATATTGAGGTGCTCAGGTTGGAATAAAGTGGTATAAAAAGTAAAAAAAAAAAAAAAAAAAAAAAAAAGCATAATACCTATATCTACTCAGAGAAAAAGATAGTGTCCACAATTTATGTCTGAGTAACAGTTGGGTTACCTAACATTATACTTATAGAAAATTCCCTTTATGTATATTTATTTGTTAATAAATAATGTACAGAATCATTATTAAAAGACACATACATTTCTATTGCTACATTTTCAGTTTCCCTGGCTCTTTCTTCTTTCATCTCCATTCTGCTATTAAGCCCATCCACTAAATTTTTTTTTATTTAAAATATTGTATTTTTCAGTTCTCAAATTTCCATTTGATTTTTTTATTAGTTTTAATTTTGCTTCTGAAAATAATCCTCTAAGGAGTTTGGAGATTGGACTGTTACGGGAACAAGGATGCTTTTCATTGTTTTTATTGCTTGAAGATTTGGAAGACTAGTAAGTATTTGTATACATTTTTTTAATTGAAAAAACATATTTACAAATATTCCTAGAAAGAACTTTAAGCCCTCTGAGAAATTCAGATTTTTATCTTCTCTGCAACTCATAATTAAATAATTCCTGCTAAACCTCAGGCAGATGACATGATGTCAGAGATAGGACTTAGCTTCAGGTGGCTGTCCTGGGAATTTTGTGGTACTACTCTAAATGGTAAGGAAGAAAACCTTCTGGACAACCATCTAGAAAGAGTTAGTATTCACCATTGAGGAAAAGCATAGGGTGACATGAGGGAGGCCAGGGGACCCTGACTCTGAGACAGGGATCACAAATTCATACCTCCAAGCCTGCCTAAGGATATATTTGAAGGTTTGGTTATAGAGCAACAAAGGCTACAGTGAGTTGTGAGTGATCCCACATACTCTGTGGAAATCAAGGGAAGGGTTTACATGCAGCTGATTCCCACTTGCTAGGTTGACCACCTTAGCAGAGAAAGAGTAGCAGTTTCTTATCAAAGTCCAGGTCTTTGAATTAATTAACAAATGTAAAGTAACAAATGACAGGATTGGAAGATCTAAGTTCAAGGGAAAAGAGAGCCTTGAGAGAATGTCTCTGAATTATAGTATACTAAATATCCAAACAACTTACCTGGACACTTAGTCACCTGCTGTCTCAAAGGATTTGAAAAATTATTTCATGCATGTAAGACTAATTTTTATATTGTGTGGTTCATGAGGGAGTGACTCGTTACTATGCTTTAATTTTCTTGAACTTGTATACTACTTGACATTTTTATATGACATTTTAATTTAATTTTGTTGTTTTTCATCTACTTTTCTCCACTACAATGTCAGCTCCATGAAGTACTTTGCTTCTTTTGTTCTCTGCTATAGACCCAGTATTGAAACGGTGCCTAACACTGACTGGGGACTCAATAAATGTCATTGATTAAAGAATGATGCATGAGGACTAGAAATGGGGTTTATACATTTTCCACCTCTTTCCTCACTTTAATGTTAGAACTTTGACATCAATCAGGAAGAGGTCTTGCAAATCAAGAGAAGATGTGAAAGTGTCCTTTCCATTCATCTTTTAAGTACCGTGAACTTGGCTCAGATTCTCCACTGTTGGCAACACATATGCTGGCAACACAACGAATTCTAAAACAGGAAGAATCACAGTATTTATTTTCCTATTTGAAAACTTATGACCATTTTCTCCCCAACTGGTACTATGATTAATACATTTCAACCTGCCCTGTCCCAAATTTAGTTCATCCGTTATATTACTGTTTTCTCCTGATTCTGAAATGAGCCTTTGATTTCATATTTTAATATATCTGAAATGTGAATATCTCTTACTATCATTGGTATCTTAGCAGTGTGTCACAGTTTAATTTGCAGTGTTTGGTATGTTGTACAATTAATGGATCTTAGATTTTGTGAAGTATGATACTTGGGTTTCTCATACTTCTGTTTTAGTATTTTAGAACATTCAATGGAAATTAGTATAGTAGGAAGAGAACTTCAGTTGTAAACAAAGGAACTGAATTTAGTTCTGCTAATTACGTAGGTGAAAATGAACAGGAACTTCACCCTTCTGGGTCTCATTCTCTGTTTTATAAAATAGAAGAAGGCATTGATCTAATATTTTAGCAAGGGAACATTTGGTTGTGTTAACCTTAAATAATAAGATTCAGAAAACATGATTAAATATAGAATTTATTAGAGTACAAAACTTGAGGCTACACACCTGGAAATAGACTCCAAGAGAATGGGGTCAGTGTTCCTAAGTGGAGAGTTAAGGTTTCATTTGTATAGAGATGTTGGCATTTTCCATGTAAGACTAGTGCATATACCTCTTCAACTTAGTTGGTCACAGATTGGTACATTCCAAGGAAGATTATTTTATTACTCCACCATGAAGGGGGATAGTAATCTGAGGGGTCTTCTCTCTGGTGTTGTTTGGTCTTAATTATTTACAGAAAAAAAGGCAAAAGTTGTGGCTGCATTCTGTGTGACTCAGGTTGCATAGTCACATTCCTTTCAATGCTCGGAAAAATTTAAAATTCTAACAGTTTTAAGTTTGAATTAATTTTTAGTTTGAATTATTGAATTTCACAGTGGCCAGAAACAACTTCAGAGTGACTGAAGTGGATTACAAAATAACCAAGAGCATCATATGTAAACCAAGGGCAGAAAGTGACTTAGTCTCATGAATTACTAATGCATGGGAGTAGAAAATTGTCAGAATGCAAGGAAAACATTTTCTTTTTTTCTGTCTTCTGATATCTTTCTCATTCCATATACCTTCTCATTTTTTTGTGTCTCGATAAAGGAAAACTTCAGCTGAATTAAATTTAAAGGAGTTTGACTAATGAATGATTTACACACAGAAAACTGAAGTGAGGTTCAGAAACAGCTGGATTGGTTGCAGGTTGACGTTTGCCTTATTTGAATATGGTTCAAATAGTTTGCTACATTTGATTGACCAAAACTTGTTGATTAGCATGAGTGTAGGCTATGGTCTGTTTATACCTTCAATTTTTTTAGTTCATGGTGTACAGAAAAACTTTTAGGCCAAACTTAAAATATGTAAGGAGGCAGCCTTTGATTAAACTTGATTTAAGTCTGTTTTATTTTTCTTCCATACTCCTTCCCCTGCTTTGTGATGAATATGATTAAATACGGCTTCTCTAGCCTGTAGTTTAGCCCCTGAGGCCAAGTAGCATGTTTGAAGTTCAAGACTAACCTGATTTATGATCTTGATCCAGGAATTGGTACCTGTGACCAAATAGAGAGGAGTCGTGAATTACAAATATGGCTGAGAAGTCTACTCCAGCATTTAAGGGAAGCTAATTCTCAGAAAAGAGGAGGAAAAGCTAGGCAGATATTCCAGAGGTTTCTGCAGTGGCTACATAATCTCAGTGGACTCTTCAAGCTGTAAACCAAAAGCAAAATTCTGAGTCCCCCGACTGACTGAATGGATAATTTCTCTGGGCTGGGGGATTCCAAAGATACCTGAAAAACTAGTTCAGGCCATGATGGGAAGGGGATTGAACATGCCTCACTATGCTCTCCTATTAGAATTCAGGTACAACTGACTAGCATTAACATTAAAGGAGAGACCTTAAGACTGACAGACAGTAGCAATAAGATACCAAATTCCAACCTGACTCTAGGATAGCATGACAGATAGCAGGCCCTGAAAGAAATTAAAGCATTATTACCCCAAAATATATTTCTTTGACATATTTTGAAATGGTCCTGCAAAGCTATTTCTTGTAAGGGAAATTTACATTCCTTAGATAATCCTCTTACCTTTCCAGGTCTATTGCTGATCCTGAAGAGATTAGTGAAGATTGTAGCACCTTTTAAATATCTGACTAGGAAACATTAGCCATCTATTGCCATAAGGGTGGCCACCTATGAGAGTTTGTCTACTTAATACGAACCTTTGTCTCCACAATTTCTTATCTTAACCCAAACACTCCTTTCTGTTGATTCTAGGTCATGAGATAATAATTTATCTCTTTCAACCAATTCCCAATCTGAAAATCTTTGAGTTTACCTATGTCCTGTGAGACCCTGCTGCAAGCTGTCCCGCCTTATGAGACAGAGCCAATGTATACCTCACGTCTATTAAAGTCTTTTGGAGTCTCCCTAAAATGTATAAATTCAACCTGTAACCACCTTGGACACATGCTTTCTGAACTTCCTGAGGCTGTGTCAGAGGTGTTTGATCCAGAGCAAGTCCATCTTGAACAAGGGCTGGGTAGAATAAGGCTGACATCTATTGTGTTGCATTATCCGGAAGTTAAGACATTCTTAGTTGAGAGATGAGATAGGACGTCAGCACAAGATACAGGGAATAAAGACCTTGCTAACAGAGTGTGGT